TGTTGTTGGGCTGTCCTTGGTTTAATTCCTGAGTTATTACTTAAATCTTCCTGATATAGTTGCACTTAGCTTTTGATTCTCTAATGACTCATGGACATTCTCATTTTCATAATATCAGAGAAGACAACTCATTAAATCAATCACAACGCTTTACCCCAATTGATACAGTCAGCATCACAATAAGATCAAGCACAACTTACAAACATTTGTGGCAGTCATGAATCTGTCACCTTTATACCATGTGAATTACATTAAAATCAAGAAGCAGCCCAAAATATGTTTGCAGTGAATAAACTCTTCACTATAGCATCTTTAACATTTAGGATGGGGGCTTAGACATAGTTAGTATAAGAGGAGTAAATAAGTAAAAGAATTGGAGAAGGTTTCAAGTAAAGCCAGAAGACATAGGATGACCATACAATCTTTAGGATACTGTTAAAGTCAAAAGGGAAAGACAGAGTGCAAGAATATAACAATTTAACAGTAATAGGGGCTCACTTTCCTTTCAAACTATTGACCTTTGAGTGAAGGAAAATGAGAGAAGAAAAGAACATAAAGAAAAAAGAAAATATGATAAAAGAAGAAATCTGAGGGAGGGCAGGAACAGGAACAGAAAGGGAGATGAAGAATAATATGGGGAAGCAAGAGACTGAGTTGGAAAAAGAGGACAGAAAAAAGAAAGAACTTGCAGAGTGGAAAGAGGAAAAGAAAGATGAAAAAGAATTTGAATGGCCTCTTTCAGACTATATCTCTGTTGTGATAATATACAATGTGCACAGCCATATGCAGAACTAAGTCCTTTGATCTCAGCTATCCGATGGCAGACTCCTGAGATTCAGGCTGACTTCAGGCTGCAATGTCCAAATTGTGCTCCCTTACCTCCTGCAGCGTTCTACTACAGGTTACTTCTGCCCTTTGAAGATATCCAGTCTGGAGCTCAGAAAAATGTCCTTCATAACCACCTGTGCCTCTGCAGAGTGGATTCAAGGACTGGCACAATCAGTAGGCCTGAGAGCAAGGGGTGGGGGTTGCAGGGGCTCCTGCACAGCAAGCTAGTCCTCACTGATTAGCCCCAGGCAAGCTGGAGTGAGAAGGAGCTCCTCGTGGCTGTCCCAGACCTCTGCCCTCCAGCTTCTCCTGGATGCTGGTTAAGGTGCAGACAGGGTGAGGGTATGGCTACCCAGTCCTCACCAAGTGGCCCCAGGAAGGCCAGAGTGAGGAGGGGCTCTGAGCAGCTGTAGTGGCAACGTAGCAAGATCCCATCTCAAGAATAAGTGAATTAAGGCTAGGCGTGGTGGTGCATGCCTGTAATCCCAGCCCTCGGGAGGCTGAGGCAGGAGGGTTGCTGTGAGTTTGAGACCAGCCTGGGCTACATAGTGAGTTCCAAGTCAGTCTCAACTGCATAGTGAGACGCTGTCTCAAAATTTAAAAAAAAGAATAAGTAAATAAAATAATCAGCAATAAATTTAATAAAAGACACATCAGACTTGCACAACAAGAAGTATGTAGCATTGTTGAAAAACAATAAAGAATACTTACCTACGTTAAAAGACATTCATGTTCATAGCTTTGAAATGTAAGTATTGTTAAATGGTGCTATTCCACAAGTGTCCATCTGCAGATTCAACATAGCGCTTACCATTTTCCTAGTAGGAAATCCTAAAATGCATGTGGTGATTTAAAGGATCAAATAACTCGACAATCTTTTTAAAAAATAGAGAACTTAAACTCTGTAATTTCCAAACTTACTACAAATCTGCAGTGGCATATGCCATATAATAAAGATATAAAGATAGATATGTAGATCCCCAAGAAAGAATTGAGAGCTAGAACTAAATGTAAACATCTATGGCTAATTGATTTTTTTATAAACATGCCAAATAATGTAATGGAAAAGTCTTGAACATATGCCTAACAACAGAATGTCCATATGCAAAAGAGAACTTAAAACCCTAACACTGTATATAAAAATTAACCCAAAACACTTACATACAAAAAACAAGACTTCTAGAATACAATGTATATGTAAATATTTGTTGTTTTGGATTGTGCGATAGATTCTATGACAGCTAAAGTACAAGTAACCAAAGGGGAAAAAAAGATAAATTGTGTTTTATAAAAATCAATTACTTTTGTGCATCAGAGGCCATTATCAAGACAGAAAAAAGACAATCTACAAAATGACAGAAAATACAACCTACAAAATGACATAAAATACTTGCAAACCATTTATCTGGCAAGAGACTTTTATCTTGAACAAAGAACACTTTAAATGCAATAAAAAGACAAATTATCCCATTTTAAAGTAGGCAAAGAATTTGAATAGATACTTCTCCAAAGAAAATAAATGGACAGTAAGTACATGAAAAGATGCCCGGCATCATTAGTTGTCAGTATAATGCACATCAAAATCACAAAAAAGATACTACCTCACACCCACTAAGATGATCAAAATAAAAATGAGGTTGTGGAGAGAGTAGAACTCTCATACACATTAGGTGGGAGTATAAAATGATGGAGACACTCTGGAAAACAAGTTTCTGTTTCTCAAAGAGTTAACCATTGAGTTACCAAATATTCAACCTTTTCAGTCCTAGAGAGAGAATTGAAAACATATATTCACATTAAAAGTTATATACAGATGGGGCCAGGGATTTAGCTCAGTGGTTCGGTGGCCTGCCTTGCAAGCCCAAGGACCTGAGTTCAATCCCCGGTACCAAAAAAAAAAAAAATTTATATACAGATGATCATAACAATGTTATTTGTGATAGCCCAAAGTGAAAACTACTCAAGCATCACCAACTGAATTGAAGGACAGAAGTAATGAGATATATCAACACAATAGCATATTACTCAGCCATAAAAGTAGTGAAGTACTAGTGTGTTCTACAATGTTAATACAACTTGAAAACATGCTTGCAAAAGACACCAGATGCAGTGGTTATACACTGTATTGACTTCATGTATATGAATGTCCAAATTTGGCAAGTTTGTAGAGTCAGTGATTTCCTGATATGGGAAAGGGAGAAATGGAAATGGCTGCTAATGCCTATTCTTTTAGCAGTAACAAAACTTCTAGATTTAGATAATGGTAATGATTGCTGATGTCTGAGCATATACTAATACCACTGAATTGCATATTTAAAAGAATAAATAAAATGCAATATATACCTGCTTAAATATTGCCTTAGAGATTCTTAGTTAGTAGGAATGGAACTCAAGAACTCCAGATTATTTTGTAGCACTTCGTATTAGCCACAATCTATGAAACAATATATTGAAATTATTTGTTTTATAAATTTAAAAGTAGTAAATTTAAACATCAGCTTTTGAAAACATAGACAATCTAGTTCCATTTTTTTGAATTCACATCATATATAGCCACCAAGGCTTCAGCAGACTTTGTAGATCAGATCTCAGGTAGGATTCCCTGTTGATACAAGGTTGATTTTATTTAATCTTTAACAGAATTCATTTTATTTAATCAGAACTAAAGTAAATATTGAAATCATAACATGAAATATCTTGAGTAAATTTTTTTTCTTTTGAACAAAAGATTTCCATTTATAAATCTCCAATGGAGGAGGAAAACCTTTCTTTATTTGTCTCTGACTTCCTGAAAGTTGAGAGAAAAGGGCTCTTGTTTTGCTTATGGCTCTGCCATTCACTAAATTTTATTTAAATCTGTAAAGCATTAGGAATGACACTCAGGACTCAGTTACTTACAAAAAAACTTAATTGTAAATTTCTGAAATGCAAGACAAAAATAATAAATTGTAAATAATTATTAACAACCTTGATAACTGGAGATACATCTTAACATTTTCATATCCATGTGCTGCAATTCCTTGAACTTAAAAGTAATCACTATGAAATATAACCTTATCGTTATTTATCTTGAACTTTTGCTAAAGAAAAAAAAAAGCCTAAGGCCACATGCAGTTGTTGTGTGGTAATTCATTATTATGAGTATTCTTTGAACATTATAAAATGTCATATTCTTTAAGGAAATCCAGGTTTCAAGAATCATTTACCATGACAAATACAAAATTTATCAAATCTCTGATGGTGGAATGAAGAGAAATGGTGCAAGCATAATTACTATAGAATGAATTTTTTTTTTTCTTTGTGGTACTGGGGATTGAATCCAGGGCTTTTACACTAAGCTACCTCCTTCGTCCTATGAGGTCAGCTTGGGCTCCATAGTAGAAAATAAAGGAAGGAATTAAGGAAGGAAGGAAGGGAGGGAGGGAGGGAGGAAGGAAGGGAGGCAGGGAGGAAGGAAGGGAAAGAGGGAGGGAAGGAAAGAAAGAAAAGAGAAAGAAAAAATCTGAGAAGTATAAAGATTGATGAACAGTTTGAGATCTAGACATTGGGATAAAACTTAATGGGTGAATCAAAGGCAGCTCAACATAGTCATTAAGAGCACCGCTTTGAAGTAAAGTAGACCTTACTATATTTGTTATCTTAAGCAATAATAAACATAATAAAATTTTACAGTACTGATTATGTGCTAGGCATTGCACTAATCTTATTGTAAACAAAATAAGTGTATTATCTACTAAGGAGGAATTTAACACATTGAAAAGCTAATACATTTTAATATTTTTCAAACCTCCTAAGGAGGATTTTAATACATTGAATAGCTAATATGTTTTAATATTTTTAAACCTAATTATTTCATCTTTGCAATGGGGATAATTATGATTTAAGAGGATTAAATAAATTGATATGTAAACAAATACCCTTAGTTTATTGTTGGTAAATTGTTAAGTATTGTTGGTAAATACTCAAAAAATAGCACACCTAGAGCTGAGCATGGTGCTGCACTCAGAAAGCTGAGGCAGGTGGATCACTGTGAAATCGAGGCCAGTCTGAGCTACATAGTGAGATCCTGTTTCAAGAAAACAACAAAAAATGCAACAATTTGTTATTTTTAAGAACATATTGCATGGTCCATTTCATCTTTGTATAATATTTGCATTTCTTTTGGAATGCAGGACCCCCAGGACCCACTGTTCCTCCACTTACAGGTTACCCAGGAGGCTTGCCTATGGGATACTACAGTCCACAGCAGCCCCCTACTTTTCCCTTATATCAGCCAACTGGCAGCACCCAGCCTATCCAGTATCAGCCTGGCAAATATCCTGCACCGAATCAGCTCACTCCAGTAATGTGGATGCCAGGGCCGACTCCTATGCTGAATTGCCCTCCTGGTCTGGAATACTTAGCTCAGGTACGTCACACAACAGAAAGAGGAGGAAGCTTGGGTACAATGAATTAGGATGAGTCAGTGATGACAGAGCCCTAATTTATGAGACTGGAAGAACATAAAGAAGGAACAGTGGATGTAGGAGTGTTTTTAATAGGATGAATATGGTCTTCATTAAGGGATCAGGTTGACTTTTAAGATACTGACTGCAGCAAACACGTGTTCTTCTGATATGTCAGCCAGCTCTTGGTTTATTAAAGACAAACTGGATGAAAGTGTTGTTTTTGTTTTGTTTGTTTGTTTCAAATCTGGACAACTATACTAATATTCATTTGTTCAGAGGAGGATAAGCTAATTTTTATTGATTTTTTTTATTCTATTTAATTTTAGAAAGGTTTTGTTGGTATCTGATATATCAGCCAATTGACTATTAGTCTCTCTTCTAATGTTAGATTTAGCTTCCTTTCTAATTGCTTTTGTTTTATCCCTACAGTTGGACAACATACATGTTCTTCAACATTTTGAGCCTCTGGAATGTATGTACAACTTGTTGTGTTCAGTAGAACTCTCATCAGGTGGAAATTTCCATTATCTAATGTCTAGTTACTTCTTTATATTGATGAGGTTTTAGTGGTTCAAAGAGATGAGTATATTCTATTAGCCTGTCTTCAGGAAAGCAATAAAGCAAATTATTTTGTATAATTGCATCTATCAATACACCATATATTCCTAAGCTCTTCGATTTAGAAAGTCTTACCTTTTATCTGGTCAACACACCCTACTCTTTACCCATTGTTCCTCCTCCATATTTACCCTGTACAAATGAGTAAAAGAAGGATCCAAGAGACTAAAAGAATTAGCCAGGGGCATTATGGTCAGCTGATCAGTAGGAGACCCATCGCAGTCTTCTGAATTCTAGTCTACTGCCCTTATTTGGAAGTAATGAGAAATAATGATAGTAAAAAATAATGCCTGTTCTGAGTTCATCCTTGCAGGAAACAGACCTTATTGGTACTGCCTTTGCACATTTGCTTGGCTACCACATTGGACTTTGATGTTTCTTAGCTTTATTTGTTATAGTCATGTAAAAAAAAGCTCATGACTTCAGTCATTTCAGCTTATTTCATGAGTTGATTAATTTGTACTTCAGTGTATAATTTCATTTAGATGGTTTTATAATTAATGATTTCTTTTTTTGTTTGTTTGTTTTTGTCATGCTTTGTTTTGTTTTGTTTTGTTTTGTTTTGTTTTTGAGGCAAGGTCTCACTGTGTAGCTGAGACTGACCTGGGACTCACTATGTAGCCCAGGCTGGTCTTGAACTCACAGTGATCCTCCTGCTTCAGCCTCCCGAATGCTGAGATTACAGGCATGTGCCACCATGCCTGCCTGGCCTATAATTTATGATTTCTTAATGTGGCTTTTTAAACCTTTTACCAGGAATTTTTAAAAACCTTTTATGTGGGAAAGCTTTAAATGATGTCCCCAGTTTCTAAAATTGCTTAACACTTGTAAGTCATATGCATTCTAATCAATGGCATACATTGCACCTTTTTTTTTTTTTTTTTTTTTTTTTTTTTGGTACTGGAGTTCGAACTCAGGACCTTGTACGTGCGAGGCAGGCACAGTGCCACAGCTAAATCTCCAACCCATGAACCTAAAATTTTCAAAAATTTGTTTTGCTTTAAGCTTTAAATACTCAGATACTTTTTTTTTTAAACAATGACTTCTTCAGGCCCATTTTAACTGGCTGTAATTTAAGAAATTTCTGTCATTTTATCTTTTAGTGATGACACGCTTTGAAACTAATAACAGATATGATATTAAAAATAACACAGAGCAGATGGTTTACATTGTAACCGAAGACACAGATGACTTCACTAGGAATGCTTATCGTACACTGAGGCCCTTTGTGCTCCGGGTCACTGACTGCACGGGCCGAGAGATCATGACAATGCAGAGACCTTTCCGATGCACCTGCTGCTGCTTCTGCTGCCCCTCAGCCAGGCAAGAGGTCAGAGAATGGAAGTCTAGTCCCATTTCTTCATGATTCAGCCCTTCATAGCACAGTCATGCTTTTTCCAAAACTATATAAGGAGGAAATTCACTGGTTCTTCCAATCAAATGGAAGGAGATAGTGAGGAGGGAGGAAACCAAATCATCTTATCAAAGAGAATTCTGGAAGGATTTCTTGTGGGTTTATGCTCCTTAAGTGCCACTTGGTGGGTCAAGCACAAATTAAGGTTGTTTGGACGATAATTACAATTCTGTATTTGTGTCTACATAATGCCTGGCAATGGTATAATTCTCAATGAACATAATCTGTTGTTCTTAAATTCTGTTTTGTAAATATTATTATTGTAATAAGAGCCTCATATTTAACTGAATCTCCAGCTCTAATCCTTCTTCTTTTTGGATATAGTAGGTGTTTTTTTCCTATATTCAAATTGTGTTCAAATCAAAACCTGTACATGCAGTCTGCTGAGATTACAGGCAGCCAGGATAGATGAAAGCAAATAACAATAACAAGCAGTCCAATTTATCAAATTTTTGTCACCTCTTCTTGCAACAAATTGGTCCTACATCTCTTTAATTTAATCGTTTCAAGAATGTTATATGATAAATATTGCACAGTAATATATGTCAATATCACATGGCACCATTATTATGGGTAGCTCTAATGCATTAGTTAAAATAAATTTAAATTTCTGAAAAAGTATATTATCAGAACAATCACATAGTATATAATCTGTCAAGATTAGGATTTTTATCTCACTGTACCAACACTGAGATTCATACCAATTGCTACATAGTTTGGTACTTTTTTATTTTTTTAATGGCTGATTAGCATAACATGCTATGATATTGTAAGTAATTTGTTTTTATGTATTTTGATTTTTTAAATTATAGGTTTACATGTGCCTGAGATGTTGATTCTTGGAAGGTCTCAAGTTTGTATGTTTTGTGTAGGCGTTAATTTACATATATGAACATCTTGATTTCACAGTGCCTAAAGCTGTGGCAGTTGAGAAAGACCACACCTATATAACTTGTTATATAGTATTGTTATGTCTTCTATTTTATTATTATCATTATTGCTAATGTCTTACTGTGCCTAATTTATAAACTACACTTTATCATAAGTGGCGTTATACAGGGAAAATGTAGCATATGTGGGGTCCAATCCTATCTGCACTTCCAGGCACCCACTGCAGGTCTTATCCATCAACAGGCTATCCATAGCAAGCAGTTATTTCTTAGTTAATTTTATTGGTATGTTTTTGACATATGTAAGGACCCCATTAATCACAGGGAATTTGTATCTGCCCATAATATATATCTTAATGCTTTTCTTTCCCACTCTCCTCCTTTTAGTCAGTCCTTCTTTCCCTCTCCTTTTACAAAAATTTGTTTGTATTGTTTTCTTTACATTTTTGTACTGTTTTATCTGTAGTCTCTTCGTTCTCTTCCCCCTCCCTCCTCCCTTGTTCTTTTTCCCATTTGAACATTTTCTTCCTACCACATTTTCTTTATCCATTCATCTGTTGATGGGCATAAGGTCTGTTTCCAAGATTTAGGTATCACGAATTGTACTGCTGTAAACATGGGTATGCATACATCACTGTGATATGATGCTTTTAATTCTTTCAGGAAGACACTTGGAAGAGGAATAGCTAGGTCAAATGGAACTCCTACTTTTAGTTTTTTTGAGGAATCTCCATACTGATTTCCACAGTGGTTGTACCAGTCTATATTCCCACCAATAGTGGTTCTTTACCCCCTTCTTCATCCCCTCTTTAGCCTTGCCAATGTTACTGATTGATTTCTTGATGGTAGACATTCTTCCTGGAGTGAGATGAAATCTCAGCATTATTTCAGTTTCCATTTCTTGAATGACCAGTGATGTAGAACATATTTTCATATATTTATTTGTTGTTTGTACTTCTTCATCTGAAGTGTCTGTTCATTTCAGCAGAATTACAAAATGGGAAAAACTTTTTTCCAGCTGTTCCTCAGACAAAGGACTAATATCTAGAAAATAAAAAGAACTTTAAAAAATCACACATACCCCAAATTTAAAGACCCAATCCAAAAAATGGGCATCTGAAGCAAGCAGTTATTAAGCCACTCTTTGTCCAAAAGGAAACATGACCCCAGCCCTCAGGGATGCTTGCTAAACACAAATAGGTAAAATAGGAGGCTTTTCTCCCAACATTCGTTTCCTTAGTCCTTGAATTAATAAGCATACATGTAGGTTGTGTCTACCCATGTGACTGTGTGTGTGTATGTACGACTTCCCTACTCTGTCACTGTTCATTCGCAGCTGGAAGTGCAGTGTCCTCCAGGTGTCACCGTTGGCTTTGTGGCAGAACACTGGAACCTGTGCAGGGCAGTGTACAGCATCCAAAATGAGAACAGAAAAAATGTGATGAGAGTGCGGGGCCCATGCTCAACCTACGGCTGCGGGTCCGATTCTGTTTTTGAGGTAAACTTTGTGCAAATAATGTGCCCTACTATTTTTTCCTGAGAGACTCAGAATGATCTGGGTTTGGATAATTTTTATGTGAATTAATAAAGTAGCACAAAGAGTTAATTAACCAGTAGACACCAATTGATTTTTAAGTCACTATTAGTGGATTCTTTTGTATTTACCAAAATATGGGCTACTTTTTCTTTATTTCAGTGCTTGCTGTAGATAAAAAGAAACATTAAAATTGTTTAGAGTAAATAGCCTGACCTGATCAGTTTGTTTCTTTGCTTATACTTACTTGAATATTTTTCCAAAGTTTCCAGGAAGGAAATACAGATTCTGTGCAAGTACCCAATATATCACAAAATATATAGAATAAAAATTATTTTCATGACAAGTCTATCTGCATCCTCAAAAATAAGATAACACCGATAATATGGATACAATTCATAACAGGTTATATTATAATATTTTCTCTAGAAGAAAACCCTTTTCTATTTATCAGAAGGGCTACAGAATTGCTTGTTAGCATACAAGTCTGACTAAGGCAATTTCTGGAACTATTTCCTAAGTTTGTTAAAGAGCACTTTCTTTCAATTGCTTTTTCATATATATTTCCAGTAATATCTAATAAACTTTCCTTAGTTCTCATTTTATATTACTATATCATTAAACATCATTTATTAAAGATTATTAAAAATGTAGAGAAGCCAAAATTTCAGGGAAGCCTGTGTATAGTCATTTTCCTTCATGAATTATTTTACACATTCAATTTTGATTATTTTCTGTGAGGAGTGCCAAGATCTCCCTTTTATAAATAAGCTTTTCTCTTCTGATGTAACAGGATGGATCTGACCCACAAAAGACTGAAGGATGTTTAGTGTACAGTACCATGCTCCCTACTTTTGCTTATAGGTTTTGTTAGATTGGAAGTGACTTTCTTCTGTCTCCAATTCTCATCTTTTACTATGTCAAGAATTAATAATCAGTTCAAATTATACCTTCTCTGACAAGCTCCCCTTAATAAATTGTTTGAAGATGAGGAAAGTGCACTAGCCTGAGGATTACTAAGCTGTATCACAGCTCAGTTACTAACCAACTTCAAGACACTTGGTCCTTCATGCCCATAATTTGCCCATTTGAGATCAGATAATTACTACATTCCTTTCTTACATCGTGTTTATGGTGTCACAGCATAAAAGTGTTTCGAAGTGGAACTTTAAAACATAAACTTTACTATTTTTCAATCACCATAAAGTTACATTCTTGTCATTGTAGGTCAAATCCCTCGATGGCGTATCCAACATTGGCAGCATTATTAGGAAGTGGAATGGTTTGCTGTCAGCAATGGGAGATGCTGACCATTTTGACATTCATTTCCCATTGGACCTGGATGTGAAGATGAAAGCCATGATTTTTGGAGCTTGTTTCCTTATTGTAAGCCTTTATTTCTGAGTTCTTCCAAGAGAATCATTCCTTCTGATGAGATGCAGGGTAGTATAATAAAAAGAGATGAAGTTTTGAGACTAGCCAATTTTTATCTGTGCCACACACTCTAGATAAACATTTTTCATAATGTTTAACATGTTAACCTCAATTTGCTCAAGTATAAAATGGAGATAAAAACCCTTATTTTTTTCAGGATTAGCTACATTAGCTATCATATGAGTAAAATAGCCAGGAGAGTGGTTAGAAGCTATTAGGCATCTGATGGTATAACTGTCATCAGTTCATATTATTTGTCATTTTCATCACTTAAAAATACTTGTCCTGTCATTTGTAGTAAAATAAAATAATTCTAAAGCTGCAATCATTTTTCTCCTTCCTTAGTGCCTTTTTTTGTCAGTGTACTCCTTGGTACCATACTATTCTTAGGTTTATCAATTTTTTCTTCCTTTTAATGATGACATTTTGTTCATTGTTAATCAAGATATATTTGTTCATTTTAACTAGAATGAGACATTCTGGTGATATATAAAAAAATAATATTGTATGTATTATATGTGTCTTTCTGTCTATGTACATATATTTTTTTTTTCCAATTGCAGGACTTCATGTATTTTGAAAGATCTCCACCACAACGTTCATCAAGATAGAGAAACATGTAAGATCACCAATTGTGATTAACAAAAATATTTTAGAAAATGTTACATTAGGCTTAGAGTCACCCCTCACATTTGGCAAATATATTTCTCTATTTTCCAGGTTATTGCAGCAGGGTGGGGGGAGTGCTTTGACAGTCTGAGGTTTCAGTGGAAGATCTCAACCAAACATGTGTTTCAGTTGATTATCTGTCTATTTGATAGATTAGGGGTACATTTAAAAAGTCCATAATCCATTAACCTAGTAAATGTATACAAAATTAGTTTTAAAACACGACAAATATGAGATAAGCAAATAAGTAATCACAAAGTTCTCATATTAATAGGTAATGAAGTGAATAATTGTTGTTTGGATAGAGTAACATGATTTCTATCTGTAGTCCTTCCCCACCTCTGTTATCTATCGACATGTCCTGCTACAGAAAACAAAAGTGATCCCAAGTAGAAAGAAAAATTGTTTTTAGAAACAAAAAGGTAGAGAAAAATGCTATGTTTTATTGTACAAGAAAAACTTTATTGTGAAGATATTTAGGAACTTCACTCTACAAACTGCAAAGCTTCGATGGAAAATTTGATTTTATTACAAAATAGAACATTTATCACATTTATCACAATATATTATTTTTTCACTCAATTTTCCTTGTTGCATGGCATGGATAAGCAATAGCTGCCTATGTACGAAGGCAGAATCAGACTGTCAGGAAAATAGCCAACCAGTTGAAATCTCAGCATCTTAGGGGCATCAGTGCCCTTGTGAGACCCTCGCATTTAATACATTTATATTTATAATACACTTACACATAACAGAATACATTAATGTTTACTGGTCACATATGAAATATATTTAGTCAAATCTCTAATTTCCCATAATCAATTGTTTTGTTTTATTTTTCTTTCAAAATTCCTGGTGACCACCAGGCTGTTCCACAGGCAAGAAATTAAGATATTATTTTCAGTTTTGAAATATGGTTTGGTGTAGCAGTTTATAAATGCAAAAGCTACAAATTACAACAATGCATAAAGCTGCTTAGCTGCTTTTTGTTTACATGTTAGAAAAGAAAATAGAAAACCCCAGCAAATATGCTACTTCTGTGTGATCTACAGATTATCATTGAAGATTATGTAGGATCAGCAGTTGCAGTATCAGCAGTGCTTGTTTGTATTAACTCATTTAAAACATAGTGTATAAATGAACGCACTTTAATTTGCCCCTGTTGCACTTTAGCCTCCTAGGTAGACATAGATGTGTTCTTTAAACACAACTAGTAATTAGAGTTGAATGTATTCTTCTACAGCTCATTGAATTTTTAAAAAGTTGAGTGTTCTTAGGGGGATTATTTTGAGATAAGAACCTTAGCCCACTGCTAAGGTTGAAATGAAAGAAAGGTGCTGCATTTTTAAATTATACAAATCTTTTTATGACAAAAGTTGTTTTATTTAGTTATTTGTAATATTATTTTTACATGCTGCTACTAAGCTTCTTTTAAATAATGTAAAAGCTGCTGCTTTCTAAAATAGTTGCCTTATATTTGAAAATATAATATTAATCAGACATATATTTCCTATAATGATGTTTTGACATTTTATATAGAAAATTGAGGGTTGAGAAAGTTCATAAACTTTCTATTTTTACTTGCATATACTCCTTCCTATATTTGAAGATTTGCATAATACTAATAGTATAAGAAAGACAGGACATTTTAAATTTGTGTTTAATATTAACATGTCTTTTATGGTTACAGTTTTTTTTTTCTCTAGAAATAATACCATGTGCTCTATTTTATGATTTAATTCACAAATAAATTCTATGTTTTGAATCGTATTTCATTGTGTAATATTGATCAAGTTAAATGATAAACAGAAGTTATTCTTCTAAATTTGTGTGTTCTCCTGTTTCATTTTCTGGCTTTTAAATAAATGTAATATGGTTAATGGTAAAATGCTGTTGTTGGAGTTTTAATATTTTTTCCAAAGAGACTTTAAAAATAATTTCTTATTGTTATTAACCTCACTCAAGGCCCTTGCTTTCTTAAAGAAATTTAGTACTAACAAAGTCATTACTATGATGTTACATAGTAGTACCTAGAATTCTTATGAAACAAGTTACTTATAAGTGCTAATATAGTTATTTAAGATGCATTAACTATAATTTTAATATTACATAAGAAAGCTGCTAAGATTTATAACTGTGTCAGTAAAGATACATTTATAACATTATTTTCCTTTTCTTCTTCAGACATGTCTTACTTTGAGGTTTAGACTGGCTTTGAACTATGTAGCCCAGGCTGGCCTCAAATTTGAGGTAATCCTCCCACCTCAGCTTCCAGAGTGCTGGGATTACAGGTGTATACTACCTTCCCTGCTTTTAAACTCTTCAATGCATAGTGATCTATTTTGGGAACACATATAGCAATGGAACACAATGAAATGTGTTCTCTTCAAGTTCTTATTTCTTGAAGTTTTCTAAGTAACATATATGAATTTCTTGCAAATATTCAAAAAATTTATCTTTGCCATAAATGGGTTAAAACACTTTTCTTAATGACCAGATTTTCCAGATACACACAGAAAAGTAGGTTACCAGAATAATTTAATAGGTGAATTCTTCAACCAAGTAAACGTTAAGCTCTAGTATAAAATAAGTAGTGATTCCAGAGTATTGAATATCACAGCTGTTGGGACAGCTGGCGACTTCTCAGTCCTTTTACCCCTATGTTCAAGGTTTAATTTGTATTGAGAGATGCAACCCTGGAAAGCCCTTGGATCTGGATTTAATAAACTAATGTCAGATTCAGCAGTGGGGCTAGTGATAGCAAATGTTTAAAATTGGATCTTTCCCCATAACTTCACAATGTGTTTCCCATTTGCCTTTAGGTTTTTAAAATTGTAAATCCTGGGAGATAGAAAAGTATAATGATATATCCAAACGTCAAAGGGAGGCATCATAATATGTTATATAGTACTTAACATAGCTAATAATAACACATGATAGGCATCTGCTCAGTATTTGCTAAATGAATCAATGAGAGGAATATTTTTGAAATGTTTAGTGAGATGGCCCAGTGTAAATTTTTACCATCCTTTCCACTATTTTATTCTATCAATGATCACTTGGGCTCACTTTGGCAGCACATGTACTATCAATGACCACTTAATTGAGCACTTTTACTAAATCAAGCAATGAGATATTTCTGAAAGGCAGAGGGAAATACAAAGATGGAAAAATGTATAATTACTACTCTGAAGGGCCCACAAAGCACACACTGTTAAAATCTACAGTGGACACTTGCCAATGGAGTGTTGTTGCATTCACAAGAGGCCACGTCACAGGCAGTTTCAGGTGCTATATAATATATTCCTGTCACACTTAGTAGAACAGGTAAGGCAGAATGATCATGTCATTACCAAGGAACCTTTTTGGCACTGGGGATGATGAATTTTATAACTGTGCCTGAAAGCTGAATACATGGTGAATGCAATTAAAAAGATTAGCTTAGCAAGTTTCATCAAGCAGATCAGGGATTGACTGTTTATTATAGTAAGATATGAGCCCAGGACATGCTCTATGAGTAGGTGCTGACTAAATAAATGAAAGTCCCACTATGTGCGTGACACTGAGATAGGAATGAAAACACAGTCCTCTATCTTAAAACAAGGATGAAACTGTGTATTACTGCAGCACAATGCTAAGTAATTATGGTTTTTGTTTTTTTTGTTTTGTTTTTGTTTTTTTGTGGTACCGGGGATCAAACTCAGGTCCTTGCACTTGTGAGGCAGGCCACCAAACCGCTGAGCTAAATCCCTGGCTCACTAAGTAATTTTTACATGAAACAAATACAGTTTTTGTTTGAAAAATGCTTATTACTGAGTTCTCACAACTACATCATGAGGCAAATGTCAATTCCATTTTTCAAAGGAGGAATATACTTCATCAAGATGTGGTAAAAACAAAAAGAGAGGATGTTAAGCACTTTCTTTCCCCTGCTATGATGTGATGAAGGTAAAGGAAAAAAGTGTATAAAAGGTGACAAACTTGAAACTCCTAGAGCAAATTGGATGGAATTTAGGCAATGAAGAGCCTGTAGTGCTACAGGTCTCACAGTTCTAACCAGAAATCCAAGACCTATTATTGCCCATGTTCCCACTTGCTCAGGGTAGTTTGGCAGTGGGTGTCCCCGGTAAGTGGTGAGGGTCCAGGTCCTAGGGCTGGAGTGGTGGCAGTGCCTCTGCAACAGCATCCAAGCAAAACAAGCAAATGGAAAATCCTAAATTGTTTACATTTTCCTGCAGTTCTTAGTTCTGCTGCTTTTCAGCAAAGGAGCCAGTCATTTGAAAATATGTAAAATGAAAATGTCTCCCTGCTAGGTTTACCTCAGGATTTAATTCCAGGAACAAGGGTGTGGTTCTGGACACACCTCAGCATGAGATAAAGGGGATGATATAACTAATGACCTATAGTAATGTGATGGTGATTCTAACAGCTACTCCTTTTGGGTGCTTTTTATTTCAGTGGGTGATTCTGCATGAATTACATCAACCCATTTAATGCTTGTAACAGGCCATAACACAGATACTCTGATAATTCTCATTTTAGAGATGGGAAAACTGAGGTTAGGTATTTTGCACAAGGTTGTGCAGCTTGCTACACATCCAGAAGCCATTATTCGATGAGACCACTGTGCCCCATTCTTTCATGTTCATGTGATGTTTGTATATTTTGTGTGTTAACAGAAATTTAGGAAACAGAACTGTAAGAGAGTGGTGATGTGTCACGTCATGTGTTTTCAAGTTTAGGATATGGCTGGGAAATTTGAGAGGCTCTGAGGAAGTTCTATCTGAAGTCTCTCTCTCCCTTTCCCTCTCCCTCTGCCTCTTTCTCTCCCTCTCTCACATTGTCTCTCCCTGTTTTTCCTTCCCTTCTCGAGTCCCTCCCTCTGTCTTCCTCTCTCTCCAGAAAGGTTTGTAAGCTTGTTCTTGCTTCTGCTAGTGCCCCAGAAGTGCTTCAAATTAAAGCCCAATTTTTCTGTTGTGTCCCTCGGTTTTCTGTTTCACAACATGTTAAATATAAGCCTCTAAAAACTGTAAGTTTATGAATTCTCAGCAGTTTTTGCTTTGAACAGCACAGGTTTAAAAAAAAAAATCCAAGGTTCCATTAATATACATTTGCCCATGGGTGAATTTTTCTAGTTTACCCTTTGCATTACAGTGTATCTCTTAGAAGGTTCTCACTTTCTTGGGGGTGCACGGTCTCACATCCTGCTTAATCCAGGATGGTAAAATCAGAGTTCTTT